GTGCGGGGTGGGGGTGGGGGGGTGGGATGGGAGATGACTGGTTCCCATGATCCAACTCATTACCGCTGTCTGCCCTGGGCATGTGTCTGGAGGCACAGAGCAGAAGAAATGGCTGCTCTGATGACCTTAGAAGCCACCATGTCCTGGATAAGGCCTGTTGACTCAGCAGCACATCATCTGAATCATAAATTGGAAGCTGTAGGCCCTGCAGGAGTGGATAATTACACCAGACACCACAACTGGCTGCCACCCCTGCTGTGATGTGAGTGATTCCTCAGGCACAAGGCTGTGTGTGGAGTCTGTGTACTGTGTCATTGTGTGTAGGTCCGTTGTGTGTGTGAACCTGTGTGTGGGTCTTGGGGTCTACGGGTGTGTGTCTGGGTGACATCCTGACTTCCCGCCTCTCTGGGATAGTAAGGCTCCTCCCCTTCCCCCCTGGAGCAGGGACCTAGTCCTTGGACTGGGGAGAAGCTGGGAGAATGGAGCAGGGGCAGGAGCAGGGGTGCGGGAGGGCTCTGGCCGCCTTGCGAGCAGTGCTGCATCTTGGAGAGGAAGGACGGGAGGGGAGCGAGGAGGGGGAGAGTGTGTTGGCCCCCGGGAGGCTTCCTGGCATGTGCAGAGGGAAGCTGGGTACACCCACCGTGGCTCTGGCCTGAGCAAGACAGCCGGCAGGAGCCTCGTGCAGTTTCCTCTGCGGGAGCCCACGGGCCGAGGGTGGCCGAGGGTGGCTGTCGGCGCAGTTGTGTCTCCATCGGCGAGGAGGGTGGGGGCGGCCGGGGAACCTGGGGGGAAAGGGAGCCTCAGGTCTGGACTCTGTCGTCACTGAGACCGTGACGGGGTGGGGGTGGCCCCACAGCTGAGCAGTGTAGTTTGAGTCCCAGGACCTTCCTTGGGCTTAAGAGGGCAGCGTCTGTGCCAGTCATGGGGTCTCAGGACTCCCGCCCACACACCCAGGTGCCCTACCTGAGCGGAGCGGCTGGGCCGAGCACCCTCTCAGCAGAGCACTCAGCTGGGAAGCCCCAGGGTCTGGCTCGGAGCTCTGGGCTCAGACTGGGGGCTGCAGAGCCAAGGAAGAACAGCAGTCAGCCTGGCCCGGGGGTTGGCCACCTACAGCAGCAGACTCCATGCCTGCTCCTTCCTACCCCCAAGCTGATGGTATTAAGAGGAGAGGCCTTGAGGTGACTTCTTAGCCTCCAGAACTGGGAGAAATAAATGTCTGTTGTTCAAGACCTACCCAGTCTGTGGTATCTTTGTTATAGCGGCCCAAACGGTCTAGTCTAAGAGGCACCTGCTTCTGGCGGCTCCGCACACGCCAAGCCTTACCCACGCTGAGAGGCAGCCCAGGCCCAGCGCTCGGGGGCAGGTTCCCCCAGTGCATCCGGCCTCCTGGAAGACAATGCCGATGGGCTCAGGGAGGCTTAGCCTGGAGAAACTCAGGTCCCTTTGGGATTCTGGAAGGACAGCCTCAGGGAGATCCCAGGGGAACAGACACAGTGTAAGGAACAGAGCCAGGAATCCAGAGGGACTCCCAGGTGGGGCCCCTAAATGCTCTCTCCACACGGAGCCTGTCAGACCACAATGATGAAAGATTTCTGGTCTAAGGGGTGCTTTCTGTGTATTCCTCCTAGCAGTAGAGCTGGGCTTGGCCACCGTCTATAAGACACCCCAAGGGAGGTGCGTTCAGAGCTGTTTGAAGACTACAAGGTTAGAAAAGGCCTCATTAGCAGAGCAGAGCATGGGGAAGCCCATGAAGATCCTTGAGGGAAGGGCTCAGGGGAGTCAGACTCCAAAGTGGGTGAACAGAACCGGGAGGCTGTCAGGGCATCAAGCCTGGCTCCGCTTCTACTAATTAGCTATGTGATCTCTGGCAAGTTGCTTACCCTCTCTGGGTCTTAAATCGAGAAAGAAAACTCCCACTTACCTCTCAGGCATAGAGATAGTAGATGTGAAACTTCCAAGGACACATCAAATGCCAGCAGCTTGGGGCCCAGGGAATCAATGCCCCTCAAGCCCGCCCCGTTCCCCAGGCTTCCCCTGGAGCCTGCCTGCCGCGCTGCTCGGGGCTCCATGCCAGCTCTCTCAGCCTGCCCTTCGGATGGTGCTGCAAACGGTCTCTACCGCAGGCAGCCTGCCGCCCAGTCATGAGCCCAACTGCCTCCAGTGTGGGGGTACTGCTGCCTCCAGCCCCCTCAGCTGCCCTTGGGGGGCTGTGCCTGTCGAGTCAGCGTGTCTCTCCCCCGACATGGCCCTCACCTTAAGGGGAAAGTGTGTTTTCCATCTTGATGATCCCTTGGCCTCTCACGCTGGGCTTCTGCGAGGTCAAGGGTGGCTGTGGAAGCCGCGTTCTGAGGAGAAATGAGCGGTAGAGTTTACCACGGCTGTCTCTGCTCTTCCCTGTGGGTCCTTCTTTGTCCTCTGCCCGCCCACCCACTGCCCGGTACCTTGGCTGCCATCCGCTCGTCCTGGAGCAGGCTCGGGCAGCCGCCCCCCAAGGTCCCAGGGCAGCCGTCCCTGGGGCTCACGCCGGGCTGTGGAGAGAAGGCGTGAGGCTGCACCAGCCTCACCAAAGCCTGACTGTGTATCTCCAGAGGCTCCCAGGGAAAGGACTGGACTGGACCAAGGTGCCCACGGGAAAGAGGGAGCCAGGGGGTAAACTTCCAGGGAACCCAGGAAGAGGAAGATGAGGGGCCCACCCCCACCTGGGCGAGGACAGGAGCTGTGAAGTGACCCCGGGGAGCCAGACTGTCCAGTTGCCACGGTGGGCACCACAACTCGAGCACCCCAGGCCCCGCTGCCCTCTGAGCCCTCAAGGGGCTCTGTGGAGGGCAGCTGCCGCGGAAGGAGTTTCCGGGCACTTCCCTGGCTCCTCCCAGGCAGGAGCTCCTACGTAAGCTCCAAAAGTCCCCATGGCAGGGGCACCCTTTGCATCCTGAAAATGCAAGATGGGGCCCAGGAAACACTGTGACCAGCTTAGAGGCCAGGGGCCCCCTCTGGAAGGTGGGCGAGGCATCTAACCCTCCCCAACCTCCTCATCCCTGGGGACCCCCTGGTCCCTGGTACTGCAGTGCTGGCTCGGGGTGTGGGCTTCCTACCCCGACGGTCCCTGCCGCGCTCTCCAGGGAGACAGTGGTGGCGAAGGGTATGCGAGGCCCGACGGGGACACGTGGCTGCAGCTGTGCTGTCTCGGTCAGCTGTGCTCCAGGCCACCAGCTTCCCAAGGGCTCTGCTGGAAGGAGGTCAGCCCGCTGCCACCTCTCCCGGCTTTCAGCTCCTTCATCTGTGGCTTCTGTTCCACCTTCGGGAGGGGAGCCAGGGGAGCCAGGCCAGGGCTCTGGGGGCTCCATGCCCCAGCCTCTCCTCCCCACGTGCCTCCCACCCAGAGAGCCCCCGTGTCCTCACTGTTCTTCATCTTTTCCTGCTCCAGCTCAGGAGACTTCCCTCTCATCCCAGTGCACACGGCGCCCTAGCCTACCTGGAGATGTGGGCGACAGGATGTGACAGCCAGCAAGGGCAAGAATAGGGCTTTCCTGAAGGGTCAGATGTGGGCTCAGCGCCTGGAGAGAGCCTGACTCTCGGGCTGAGACCAGGACCGCCCCCCGACATGGGCGCCCAGGCCCCTATCGCCCAGTGCACCCTCATTTCAACCTCCGCTCACCCCTGCCTTCCTCTGCAGTTGAGCAAACTTCTCCTCCTGGGCAGCCAGCAGCTTTTCTAAGTCCTGGTGTCTGCGGAGCAGCCACTCCACATCTGACACCGAGCGCTGGGGAGAAGCAAGCCAGGGTGTGGCCCAGCCCTCGGGGGTGCAGAGAGCCATTCCCTCACCCTCTGCAACCTGGCCGGGGGCCCAGGGTGCAGGGGAGCAGCAGGATCTGCCCTTGGCTGTAGCTGCCAGACGGTGCGGCCAGCTAAGGGGCAGGGCCTCGACTCACCCTGCAGTTGGGGTCCAGCAGGAGGTCCTCCCGGCAGGCCAGCCGGGCCTTGGCCTGGTCCAGCCACTGCTGAAGCTTCTGCAGACACCAGCTCCCCTCACAGCGCTCCTGGTGCAGGGCCCAGGCCTCCCTGAGTGCCCGCGGCCGACCGTCCAGCTCCTGCAGGCACTCTGTCATCGGGGACGGGACGCTGGGGGTGAGATGCTCAGGCAGAGCCACGGGGTGCGGCAGGGCTGGAGCACCCAGCAGAGGTGTCGAGGGAAGACCGTGAGGCCTGGACCCTCCCCGTCTCTGCCCCCCTCTCTCCGCCCCCTGCCTGGCCTTCTGCTCCTGCTCAGGGTTCCGAGGCCTTGGGTAACTGGGCTGTGCGCCCAGCTCAGCCCCAGACCCATCTCTGTGCTCGTGCCTCCAGGGACATGAAGCGGCCATTGTCCACCGGCTGCTGCCCTTCCTGCTGTACATCCTGGGCTTGACGGCAGTGCCCCTTGATTTGTTGCCCCAGCTCCTCCAGCAGCTCCAGGAGCCGCTCGGTCCCAGACACATCCCCAGCCAGCTCCTCTGAGGACACCAGCCCCTGCTTCTCCTGAGCCCATGCTCTGCGGGGCAGGGAGGGGAAGCTGCTATCAGGGCCAGGAGGGCAGACTGGGGTGGGGGGCACGGCATGAGCTGCATAGGGAGATGGGGACTACAGCCCCCCAAAGAGCTGGGGTGACCCCCGCCCTGCAGGGCGGAGCTGAGCCAACAGCCGGGGCAGGATGCCACCTACAGCAGTTCCCGACAGCGTCCGAGGAAGGCGTGGCCCTGGGCAGCCTCCTCCAGCTGCCGACCCCGCTCCTGGACCTTCGCATTCAGGGTGGCCCAGGCCTCCTGAACCTCAGCCAGTTGCTTGGCCAGGCCCTCCTGAGCCACAGGGTGTAGCTGGCCCAGCTGGCAGGTCTCCATCTGCACCTGGGCCACCTCCTTTTCCATCGCTGCCAGTTCCCCCTGCAGCCAGAATCAGGCCTTACCCCCTGGCAACCCGATGCCTGCTCCTTTTCAGGGAGCACCCGTCCTCTCTGGGAAGTCCACCTCCACAGCCTGGGCATGCAGGACCTCCCTTCCCACCTCTGGGGTCCTCTTACCCAGGGGAGGAGGTCAGACGGGCAGCCGACGGGGCGTGGACCCTTACCTCCAGGCATCAGTGCTGTTGCTGCAGGGTCTGCACCGGCACCGGGCTGCGGCCACAGGCATCTCTTGCCACCAGGGCCACCTTCTCCTGCATCCAGCCCCGGAGCTCGGCTGCTACCTGCTCAAAGCCGCAGACCTCACGGGCCATGGCCAGGTTCTGAGAGAGGAGGGAGGGCCTGTTCCGGCCAGGGTCCTCTCTCCCTGGAGATGTAGCCTTCCGGGCCACTTCCTTTTAAACAAGGAGGTCCGTGGGGCTTGGTGACTCGTTCATGACCACCGGGTACAGGAAATGTCCCAGATGTGGCAGCTGCTCTGTGAGTGTGTGATGTTACTGATGACGGGGTAGGGCCCTGGGGTATTCTGTGAGGAGAGGGTCTTCAGTGCCCAACTCATGAGAGGGGCAGAGGTGGGGGCTTTGAAGCAGGTGGGAATGAGTCCACAGGAGGGAGGACGTTCTTTTGGGGGCATCTGGCTGAGATGAAGAGGATCGCCTCAGGAGGCTGCCTGGCCAGGACGCTCAGAGGCGGCGTCCCTGGGCTGCAGGCTCTGTCAGGGGCTCGGGGACCTGGACTGCTTTTCTAGAAACTGCCAGCTGTGGCTGAGAGCAAAGGTCGTGGAGAAACGCTGAGGTTGTCCTCAGCACACAGATCCACTCAGAGCATTTAGATGAGAAGCGTGAATGGCTGGAGCGATCTTGCGCAGTTAGCGGGTGTGCTGAAGGACAAGAGACCAACGGGGCCTGTGTCTTAATAAACCTGAAGCCTATGTTTGGAGGGGGCTCTGGGGGCGCGGGTCAGGACCTGGCCAGACATGTTTCCTGTTTCTCCCTGGAGGTGTGAGCTGCACCAGGGGGAAACCAAATCGGTGGAGAGACTCAGAGAGGGCTGGAGGTGGAAGACTTTACGACTTTTGATCTGCTTGGCACTGGGAGTTGGAGGCAGCCACCTTGCTCCACACACAGACACACAGACACACAGACACGGTGGGGCTGCCTGTCCCTGGCCCAGGCAGATTACCCAGCTGTCCCAGCCCCTTGGCTGCCCCTGGCTGAGACTGGGGGCACCTACCTGTGTGCGGGTTTTCACTGCCCGGTCCAGTCTCTCCCAAATGGCCTCGATGTGACTCCGCTGCCCTTGGATCTGGGGAGAGCACCTGGGTGCTGCCCATCCCAAGGAGCCTGCCTGCTTCCGCAGGGCCTGCACATTGGCCTGTCCCAGGCACTGGACTTCCTTTCTGAAAGCGTCGAACTTCTCTTCCAGCGCCTGCAGGGTGTAGGGCCAGGGAGGTCACTCTGGAGGTGGCGTCCAGCAGCTCTCAAAGCTACTGAAGGGCTCGGCAGTATCTGCCACTTCTGGCGCCCCTTGGCCCTGCGTCTAGGACCACGGGGATTCTCCCAGAGCCCCCCACTTCCTGCGCGGCCCCTCCCCCTTCCCCGCCCTTGCGCGCCACTCAATCCACTGTCCTCCAGGTTTGCTCAGGAGTGACTCACCTTGACGGCCTCCAGGTCCTGCCCGTAGTCCTGGGACTCGGCAGAGGCCACCTTGCTGGCCAGCCAGGCGCCCAGGAGCAGGGCTTCCCGCTCCAGTTGGTGGAGCTGCAGCTGCTCCCAAAGGCCTTGCCCCCTGCCCTCCGCTCTCTGCAACAGCCCCGAGTGGGTGTCCCTCACTGCGAGCATCAGGGCGAGCAACTTGGGGCTGCAGCAGGAAGGACAATCCGCCTGGAGCCCTTCCTCTCCAGGCTGGACCGGCCTCGTGCCTCTGTAGGGAGAGCCCCTCCCTGCTCCTCCCTATTTGGGTCTGGCTCCAACGCACATTTCTGGGTTCTGCCTGCTCTCGAGGAGGGCTGCTGTCTGCTGCAGCCTCTCGATGCGTGTGCTGAGCCCCTCCAGGTCTCTCCTGGTGGCCTCCAGCCACCGCAGAAAGGCCTGCGTGGCCTCGGCACTCTGGCCTAGATCCTCAATGTCCCGTTCTTGAACACAGCCCCATTCTTCCAGCCAGGATTCTGCCTCTGGGAGCTGGGGTGACATAGAGGACAGGTTTCCCTGGGCGATACCCTCCAGGGCTCCCAACTTTGAGTTCATGGCCTCGAGATTTAGAGCAGTGAGTGGTTCTCAACTTGGCTGATGGGGATCACCTGAGAGTTTTAACAAGTGGCTCTGCCTGGCTCTCACCCCTTAAGATTCTGATTTGGTCTGGAATAGAGCTGAGTGTCAGCACTTCTTAAAAGTTCCAGGTGATACTGATGTGAAGCACTGATTGAGAATCATCGGTTTAGAAAAAACAACCAAACCAAACCAAACCCAACCCAGTGGGCTGTTTCCTGAGAAACATGCTGAAGGAAGATCTTGGGGGCAGGAGACAACTTAGTGGAGGTGACAGAAGATGCACAGAGAGCCCGGAGCCCCACCTCGGGGTTACCTTCCAGCCCTACCTACCCTACCCTCTGGGTGTCCTCATGACCAACCCCCACCCTTTCGTGCCCCATCACACCCCCTCACTTCCATCAGGAACTGCTGGGCCTCCTGAGCCTGCTGCAGCTGCTGTCGCCTCTGTGCAGCCTCTGCCTGCAGGCGGCCCACGGCATCCTCCAGCTGCAGCGCCTGGGCAGCCACGTCGCGGGCAGCAAAGTGCCCCGCCTGCACCAGCTCGCACCCTGTGCCCACCGCCGCCCGGGTCAGAGCCTTGGGGCTGCTTATCTCAGTCTCCAGGTTCTGCCAAGTCGGAGGAAGACAGGGGATGCTCCTGGGTGCTCCTGGGGGGACCTAGAGTCATGTCTCAGGCCCGGTGGGATCCCACAGCTGCCCCCAGAGAGAACCCTGCCCCTGTGACCACCAAAGAATCCAGGGAGAAGCTTCCAGCCCCAGGCAACTGACGACGGCCCCGCCCCTCCCACTGGGCCCACACCTGGCACTTCTCCTGAAGGCGCCGCAGGGCGCTGGGCCTCTGGCCGCAGTCCCAGGTGGCCGTCAGGGACAGCTTCTCCCGCACCCAGGCCATCTCCTCGTCGGCATCCTTGAAGGACTGCAGGAGGGGGCTCTGGGCCTCCAGGGCTGTCCTGTGCTCCTGCAGGGGCGCCTGCTGGCTCTCGAACCTGCAGCAGTGGAGGGCAGGCCCGGGGCAGGGGACACCCTGGTCGTCAGGATCAGGGCCACACTGTGACCCACATACCAGCTCGCCCGCTCTGTGCCCCTCACCGTGGGCAGGGAGGGCCCCGAGGAGCTGAGCTGGGGGGCAGAGAGGAGGGACGGCTTTACTGCTGAAGCAGCTGCTGGGCCTGCTCTTCCACAGCTTGGGCCAGGCAGTGGCCTTCCCGGACAAAGGCCTGTGCGTGCCCGGCCTGCCTGTCCAGCTCTCCCTGAGCCCCCAGGAGCTCGTCCAGAGCGGGCTGCTCTGGGCCCCCGATGGGGGCTCTCAGTTTGAGCTCCACGGGCTCCAGCCACTTCTCCAGTTCCTCCACGCTCTGCCGGAGACGCAGGGCCTGGGGTAGAATGTGAGGTGGGCACGAGGGGGAGAGTCTAGAGCTGCACCCAGCCTGCTCCAGGGCCGCACAGCCTCACCTCACAGGCCTCCTGTAGCTTGGCTGCCTTCCTCTGGCAGTTGGCCTGTAGCTCCTCCCAGAGTTCTCTCAGCTCCTGCAACCACTCCTGCATGGTCTCTGAGGATGTGAGGCCATCCCGCAGCAGCCCCTGCCCCTCCTACAGCCACAACATGGCACACGCCTCGTGGACTCAGGACTGCTGGTGTCAGGGCACTCATGTTGGCTCCAACCACCAGCCCCACAGCTGCAGAGTCTGTGTGCTAGCTGTGTGATCTTGGGCAAGTTCCTTAACCTCTCTGAGCTCATTTTCCTTATCCATGTAATGGAGATAATAATGGGTATTTTGTTTAAATGAGATCAAACATTTCAAATACTTAGCAGGGTACCTTATATCACAGAGAGGCAGCCTGGGGCCAGGGCCTGCTCTTGGCAGGTGGAAGAGGCTAACTTTAAAAGGTGCTATACTTTGACTCCTACACGAACAGGACTGCTGGCTACATACCCTGACTCTGTCCTCTGATGTCTGTCCAAGAGAGCTGTTAAAACCATCACGCCAAAACACCATCTTTAAAATTCTTGAAAAGGCACTATTTTGGGAGGGTACCCAGGGAAGCCACTGCGTCTCATGGCCCTTTGGTGCTTAGCACGGCGTCTGTATGCAGAAAGCACTCGAAGGTCGGCCATCCACGGCTGTGATTCAGAGCCAGCTGCCAGGGCTCTGTGGGGTCACCCCCTGCTCTGGCCTGTAAGCCCATCCCTGGTCCCCAAGACCTCACCGTCTGCAGCCTTTGCTGGTGGTGTACACTCGTGTCCTGCTCGGCCACCGCAACTGTGCCTGCAGCCCGGCTGGGTCCTGCCAGCCCTCTTCCAGGACCACCAGGTTCTTCTCCCTCAGCCATGCGGCCACCTGGGCACACCGGGAGGAACAGGCCCTGCTGCCTAGGGCTCTCCTTTCCCCTAACCTCTGGGCTGCCCCGAGGAAGAGTGGCTTGTCCTGGGGGCAGCCCCTTCTCTCACCACAACCACTCCCCACGCCGGTCAACCTCGTAGGAACCCTGCAGGAAGGGCTGCAGCTGCCCGAGCTCCTCCAGCTGGCGGCGACGGGTCCTGGCTTGCTCCAGGAGTGCCTCTTTCCTGCCGGAAGGAGGGTGTCAGGGCCTCAGGTCTGCTCACTGGGACCTGGAGCTGCTATGGGTGTGTGTGTGTGTGCACACGCAGCACGCACACACACGTGCATAGGTGTGCCCTTCCAGCCCAGGACAGCCTTTCTTGTATATCAATATACCCTGAGTCTGTCTCCTCCTGCTGGGGCTGCCAAAGGGTGTGGAGGGCAGGGGAGATGCAGAGAGTCTCGATGGAATGAAAACAGCCCCCTAGAGGATGCCAGAAGCCTGAGAGGGAGGGGGTCAAGACGGCACTGTCCTGGGGGACAGCCGGGCCTGCCAGGAACCACCTAAGGGGACTCGGGGGTGGGCAGGGAGTGTTGACAGAGACCAGCAAACCAACATTTTCCATCTGTCAATCAAAGACCTCGGGTACCCAGGTGGGGTCCACCTGCAGGGAAGAGGAGGGCATGGCCGCCAGGGCATCAGCCCAGGAGCCACAAACACAGTGGGCCCTGGTGGGCTCTCTGGGAAGGACGGAGACCCCCACCAATCTGGAATCCAGCTTTTGGCCAAATCTGCCTTGATCTAAACGTCTGAGGGGCTGGACGAGGCAGCTGAACCAGATGGGCTTTTATGTGGAAAAAAGGCAGAGACTGGCGTCTCATAGCTGTGCCGGCTTCAGTTAAATGAGCATAAGAAATATGCCAACCCCCCCTGAGTGCCAGGCACCACACCGGGACATCAAGGATTCCTTTCTCATCCTGACCACAACCCTAAGGGGCAGGTATTTTTATCCCCTCACTGTAGACACGAGACTCTGTGAGGAATCTGCCCCAAGTCCCGCTGTGAGAGGGCAACACAGAAACTCAGTGCTGTCTGGCTAACTGCTGTGCTCTGGTATTGCCATTTCGTGAGGTCATCTCTCTTTTAGTTTCTTAAGCATGTGCTTCTTTTTAAAAGTCCCCTTTATCTCAGCTGAGTGACCATGTGCTGTTTGACTCCATAACAGGTTGACACACTGCAGGGTCAGGAGCGCTGGGGCCCTGGCACCTGAACTCAGCCCTTGGAAAAGCCTGGTGAGCCCAGGCTAAGGGATACAAGGGCAAGGGAAGAGCCTGATTGCCTTTGCCAGCCCACCCACGGCTCCCGCAGCCAGAGCCAGAGGTACCTCAGGAGCATGGCCTGGCACCGGCCCAGGGCACCCTGGGCCTCGGGCTGTCCACCCTGGTGCAGGCTGCGGGTGGAGGCTTCTAGCGCGCTGACCTTCTCCGCCTGTGCCTCCAGGTATCGCTCATGCATCTTCTGCTTCCACAGCAGTGTTTCCACATCAGGCAAGGAGTCCTGGGAAGCGATACTGTCTACAGGGTTGCCCCCTCCCAGTCCCAAGCTATCTACTTTCCTACCAGACACATCCCCCCGATCCCTCAAGGCTGTATCTGGCTTTAGGGCAGCGATTCTCAACCAGGAAAGGCATGGGGGATAAGAGTCAAGTGTTAGAATTTCCAGGGCAGGTGGAGCTCCTCCACATAACAGGGACACCCTCTCCTCTGCACTCCCAGTAAGGCTACGTCAGCACAGGAAACGGCCCCTGATCACCCTCTGAGGACCCCCATGAGTCAGGCTTGCCTGCCACAGGGGTTGGGACAGTTGTGGGAAAAGCAAACCTCTGGGTGTAAGGAAGTGAGGGGGGCAGAGGAGAGAAGGGTGCTGGGAAAAGGAGGCAAGAATGCGTCAAGGGCCACAGGCTCACACTCTGAGATCCCACAGAGGGCCCAGCCCCAGATGCATAAGAACTGCCAGCGATGGACGGGTAAGCCACCGCTCAGTGACTGACGTGCTTGAGGGTCGGGAGATGCCCTTGGCCTGGGGAGCTCTGGCAGCACTGGCTGGTTTGATCTCTAATGCTGCCCTGGCAAACACTCCCTCACTCCTGCTGGGCACCTACCCCGAGACCCTCACTGGCTGGGCAGGCTTCCAGGCTGCAGAGCCAACTTTCCACCTGCTCCGCAGAGCTCAGAGCCAGCTGTTGAGAAAGGAAGAGGCAAGAGCAAGTGAGCAGAGGGTCCAGTCGCTGCAGGTGGAGTGAGGCCCAGTGGGAAACCAGGGACCTGGGGCCTGGCTCAACAGAAGGAGTCCACAGCAGGCAAGATTTGCCATGGGTGAGCTGAGTGGTAGGTGGTGGGTGGTGAGTGATGGGAAAAGCCCCTGGCACGGCAGCCTCTCTGGCTTTGACTTTGACGAGGGGCAGTGGGTTTAGTACAGGCCCCAGGGGTGGGGGCGGGATGGAGGCTGCTACCTGTAGCTCCAAGGCCTGATGCAGCTGGAGCTGGTGTTCCTGCCGGGCCCCTTCCAGGCTGTTCAGCTCCACGCACTGATGACCAGCCGGGGCCTGGCGGATGTCAGGGGTGGGTGGGTGCCCGGCGGCAAGCAGTCGTTGCCCAGTGCTTCGGGCCAGGCTGATGCTGTCTGTTTGGGCATCCAGCTCGGCCTGTAAGAGGACTGGGCTCAGATCCCAGAGGCTGAGGCTTCCTGAGAGGGAGGGAAGAGGCCCAGTGGGAGGGAGGAGAGGTGGGGAAGACCACTGAGGGGGTTAGAGGGAAGAGGAGAAAGGCAGAGGTAGCCGACGCAGAAAGAACCCAAGAGAAAAGTGGGATCACAGTAAGGGGGAGGCCAGAGAGGAGGCGAGATCCCAGGAAAGGCCTCAGGGTCTGGGCCACTCACCTTGCGATCCTGGCATTCCTCCAACATGCTCTGGACATCGCAAGGCTGCTGGGGGTGCTCTGGGTGTCCATCTCAGCTCGCAGCCTCTGGGCCCAGATCAGCAATTCCTGCAGCGTTGCCTGCTGCTTCTGAGCTTGGTGCAAGGCATCCACCGACTCCTTCCTGCCACAGGGTTCATCAGCTAGTCCTGGGGCCTCTGAGCCCCTTTCCCCCGCCAGTGCCTTCTGTCCCTGAATCCCCTCAGCCAAAGAAGGGCCCATGGGCTGGGAATTAATAGGGTGGCGATACAGATGGTTATTAGAAGGATGGAGAAAGACTCTTAGGGAAGGGTGGGGATTGAGACGCTGCAGGGGATGGGTCAGCGAGAGCAGTGAGGGAAAG